ACCATGAATAGGCCTCCTCCGTTTACCTCCAGCCAATGCCGATTGTTGACCACCCGAAGGAGGGCCTTCTCTGTGGCTGCTCCGGCCCCCGGGAAGGACTCCCCTGGGGGGTCTTGGACCCTCACCACCCTTCAGGCTTTCCGCAAAGCCGTCAAAACCTGGCTGTTCCAACAGGCCTGGGGTTGACAAGTTCCCATCCCCACTCGAATTGTGTGGCTGTTGACGGCTTTTAAATTGTTTCTGTATTTTGTTTCTTTGTTTTTATTGCTTTCTATCTGTATCATTCCCTTCCCCTTCGGTTTGTTAGCCGCCCTGAGTCCCTCCGGGAATAGGGCGGCATACAAGTGTAATAAACCTTGAACCTTGGATTTCTTTTGAACTTTGGCTTGAGGCTCGTAAATTAATCAGGACATTTTTAGGAAACCTGACAGCACCCTCATTTCAATTCTGAGCTACAAATATAGCAGTAAATATTCTCCTTTATTGGTAGTCAACCATGATTCATCTTACCCAAAAGCTGGGACCACCACAGATATGTAGACATCTGTCCTACCCTTTCCCCCCACATCCTAAAATATGCAAATTCCTGGTTGTCAATAAACTACACTGGTGCTCCTTGTATACCGGGGATCCGTTAGTCTCCTCTTCCACCAACCTTGCTTGGCTGTGCTCTGGTGTACGGCAGTGTCACAGATCCATGCAGCCAGTTGGGACTCTGGGTCCCCGTACGGTTCCAGAGTAGAACGGCGCTTCCTGAAGGGTCCTCCAGCAGGACCTGCAACTGAGTCTCCACTTCCACGACGCTATGCATGTGGTAGTAGAATTCAACGCAGGCCTCCTGACTGATGCAGAATGATGAGCTGTATAAACGCGTAGACCCATTCGGCTTCAGTTGGCCGCCTTCTACGTAGATGTAGTAGCCTTCTAAAAAAACGGTGAGGGAGACCCATCAGGGCATCCATGGTCCTTATGTCAACACTGACAGGCGCCAGAGGGAAGAGGTCAGGCCACAGAGTATTGTGAGGGGTCCTTGGCGCTCTCTGAATTTGGTTGTTTTCCTGCAGACATTTCATGAACCCACGTAGGTAACATCATGATGATGTTCATCAAGGATCATTACACTGATGATGTTACCCAGTTGGGTCAGGAGATGTCTGCAAGGAAACAACTATGCTCATCTAGCACTAAGGACCACAACCCTCCTCCAGAATGGAACAACTCGCCGTGGCTAACTCATCCCTGCCAATTCATCATGGCCCACTCACCGTGGGACAACTTGCCGAGGCCAATTTCCTGCAAGACAACTCACCGCAGGACAATTCAACAATTGTATTTAATGATTTAAAATAATTTGAAAAAATATTTTTACATTTTTGCCATTTGCATTTCATGTTGCCCCTCCTTCTGCATCCTTTCTTTCATGATTCTTTCCCACCATTTCTTTGATATCATGTAACATGTGTACCACAGCAAGTTGCCCTTCAACGAATTGCCTGTGACAAGTAGTCCTTTCGTGATTTGGCCATGGCAAGCTGGCCACAGCTGTGGCAAGTTGTCCTAGACCTCTCCTCCTCCTCCTCCTCCTCCTCCTCCTCCTCCTCCTNGAAGGAAGGAAGGAAGGAAGGAAGGAAGGAAGGAAGGAAGGAAGGAAGGAAGGAAGGAAGGAAGGAAAAGGAAGGAAGGAGAGAGAAAAAAGGAAGGAATGGAGGGAGGGAGGGATGGAAAGAAAGGGACAGAAGGAAGGAAAAGGAAGGAAGGAAGGAAAGAAGGAAGGAGAAGGAAGGAGAGAAAAGGAAGGAAGGAAGGGATGGAAAGAAAGGGATATAAGGAAGGGAGGGAGGGAGGGAAAGGGACGAAGGAGAGAAAAGGAAGGAAGGAAGGAGGGAGAGAGAAAAAAGGAAGGAATGGAGGGAGGGATGGAAAGAAAGGGACAGAAGGAAGGAAGGAAGGAGGGAAGGAAAAGGAAGGAAAGAAGGAAGGAGAAGGAAGGAAGGAGAGAAAAGGATGGAAGGAAGGAAGGAGAGAGAAAAAAGGAAGGAATGGAGGGAGGGATGGAAAGAAAGGGACAGAAGGAAGGAAGGAAGGAAAAGGAAGGAAAGAAGGAAGGTGAAGGAAGGAAGGAGAGAAAAGGATGGAAGGAAGGGATGGAAAGAAAGGGATAGAAGGAAGGAAGGAAGGAAGAAAAAAAGGGACAAAGGAGAGAAAAGCAAGGAAGAGAAAGAAGGAAATAAGGAAGGAAGGAGAGAAAAGGAAGGAAGGGAGGAGGGTGGAAAGGAAGAAGGGAGCGAGGGAGCGAGGAAGGGAAATACAACCCGGAGCTACAAATATTCTCCTTGATTGGAAGGGAAATACTACTCACAGTCTGTGCTCAGGGTCCTCCGTGGAGTCTCCACACCTGGGACTAAGTGGGCCCTGAAACAGCGGAGGAAAAGGGAGGAGCAGGGAGGGTTAACTTCCGCACAGAGACAGAGCACCCTGCCCCCCCCAACTCCCCTCCCTTTTACAGCAGCTGGAGGGCCAATGGGACGGGCTACACCCCCCCCCAGGACCTCCCCCCCTCTGCACCCCCCAGGACCTTCCAATGGCCTCCGAGGGCAAAAGCCTCCAAGGTTCGCCTCTAAGAAGCCTTGGGGTGTTCCTCGCCCTCCCCCCCTCCCCCGGTGCCCAGCAGGGCGTGGGTCTGCCTCGGGGGGGGGGGNTAGTAAAATAAAACAAAACAAAACATAAAATGAAATAATAAAACAAAAAGTAAAGTAATAAAATAAAATAAAATAAAAAGTAGAGTAAAAAATAAAATAATAAAATAAAACATAAAATAGTAAAATGAAATAAAATAATAAAAACGAAATAAACAAAATAAAATAGGCAGCCAGTAAGGCAGAATGACCTGAGTAGTGATAATCCTCAACTTATGACTGGCTGCTTAGCGACCGTTGGAAATTACGACAGGCTCCTCCAAACGGGACTTACAACCTGGTTCCGAAGTTCTGACGTGGCCCCCAGCCCTCGTGGTTCACGTGACCGCATTTTTGGCGTTGGAAAACCGCCCTTCCTTTACGGGTGACCCCGGATTTCTATTTCTGCGGGGAGATGGGGTTTCCTTCCTCCAGATTCCCGCAAATTAAATCAGACAATGGGGGGGGGGGGCTGTTCACTTAATGAATGCCACACAAACGGATGCAATGACTCCAGTCACGGAGTGACCTGCTTTACGACCATCACGATCTATGACTGCAATTGCCAGGCTCGATTATGGTCATAGGTTGAGGACTCTCCCCTGCCTCCCCACCCCTCCGTTTACCTTGAAGGGGCGCGGAGTCTGGGCAGGAACTGTGACGGCCCCACTCAGCCAGGAGGTGCTCTGCACTTCTGACGGGGTCCACACGAGGGCGACACTGCCCGAAGCATCCTGGATCTCGACGCTCAGCTGGACTTGGTTGCTGAGGCCGTACAAATAATACAGGAATCGCACGCAGACCTCCGCCCCCGCCGGGTCCACATCCGGGCTCTCCAGCTGTGCGAGCCCTCCAGCTGCTGGGTGGATGTAATTGTCTCCTGGGAAGGGAGAAGCCCGTTTAGGGGGCTGGAGAGCAGAGGGGCCGGGCCGATGGGCCCCCTGCCGAGTGGCGCCAGGTGCACCCCGAAGGGCAGGCTCTGCAGGGAGGGCCTTGGCTTGCTGCCCTCGGATCTGTGGGGTGTCCCGCCCTCTGCCGGGAGCCCCAGGTGGTGGGGAAGCTCGGCCAGGAGAGGGAAGGGTCCCGGATCAAGGTAGCAGCAGGGAGGCGTCCTGGCACGGATCCAGGGGCAGCGGGTGCCAACCCTAGGGTCGCCTGTCTGTCCCGGGGCCCCGCGAGGGTGCTGGCCTGAGAGGGGCCCAGCGCAGCCTCCGCAGAAGAGACCGGGGCCACCGCGAAGCTCTTACTCCGTACGATGTCTCCTTCTGGGGGTCCAGGGCTCTCCCCGGGCTTCTGCCCCTGTGCTCGGAGCCACCCGCTGCCCTGGCTGTTGGGGGGCTGGCTCCAGTCGCAGAAGGGATGGTCGTCATTGTCAAAGTCGCAGTAGTCTAAGGGGAAGGGGGAGCAAAAGGTCAGCCCCTCCAGCCCCTACCCTCAGGGGCAAGGGATGCTGGGTTTCCCAGTGCCTGGGAGCGCCTGGCTTGGCACTGCATGGCCACTCCCTGCTTCGGGAGGGAGGGGTTGGGAGCTGTGGAATGCCCCCTTTCGCCCCTCTGCCTCCAAAGCTCCCAGGTGCCCCCCCCCCGGGCATCTGCGCAGAAGATGCCCCTTGCTCCCTCTGGGACCAGGGCAGTGCAGGGGAAGGAAGGAAGGAAGGAAGGAAGGAAGGAAGGAAGGAAGGAAGGAAGGAAGGAAGGAA